ATGAAGAACACCCCCAACGTATTTTGTTTATTTTTTTTCAAATCTTATCAAAATTGACATCACTCACCTTTTTGACTGTGTGTAGCTTTATAGGCAGAGAACTACGTTTTTCTCGCTCAATGATGTTTGCTGTAGAGGAGATTAACAACAGCACAGAGCTGCTGCCAGGCATCAAACTTGGATATCAGATCTATGACTCATGTGGTTCAGTACCAGTGGCTGCACACCTTGCATTTCAACTAACAAATGGTCAGGATCCTGTGTTTTACAAAGACAGCAATTGTTCCCGGTCTGGTGTGGTGATGGCTGCTGTTGGAGACTCTGCATCCACAGCATCAATCAGCATTTCCCGCATTATTGGGCCTTTCAATATCCCTCTGGTAAAATATCTGAATTTATTATAATTTACCTTCGAAAGTATAGCTGTACAATTGAAAAGCTGTTTTAATTTTTATTTTTATAACTCTGTTTTAATACAGGTCAGCTACTTTTCTACCTGTGCCTGCCTGTCAGATAAGCAGCAGCACCCCACATTTTTCAGAACAATTCCCAGTGATATGTTCCAAGCTGACGTTCTGGTCAAGCTAGTTAAATATTTTGGCTGGAGTTGGATCGGTGCTGTTCGCTCTGACTCAGATTATGGAAATTTTGGAATGACATCTTTTCTTTATGCAGCACAAAAAGAGGGTATCTGTGTGGAGTACTCTGAATCTTTTTCTTGGACGAACCCACGCAACAAGATCCAGAAAGTAGCCAACATTATTCGAAGGTCTTTAAGTCAATGTTTGATTGTTTGTAACAAAAACATTTTGAAAATCTTTAAACAAATTCCATTTTTTTCATGTTTTCTCAATGTTTTTTCAAGTCTTTCATTAAGATTGTCTAATTATGTGAAAACACCTCTCTAAAAAAACTGATCATAACAAGAGAACATCTTAATATTCATAAGCAAAATATCTACAGKTTTAAAATATATGAGTCAAAAGATATGCACTGGTTACCATATGTCATCATGTTTTCATGTCTCTGCAGGTCAACAGCAACAGTTATTGTAGCTTTTACAGCCTCTGCAGAAATGAGGGTGCTGTTAGAGGAGCTGGCTCAGGAGCCCTCACCACCTCGTCAGTGGATAGGAAGTGAGGCTTGGATTACTGACCCACATTTTTTGAAATTCAGTTTCTGTGCAGGAGCCATTGGAGTTGGCCTTCAGCAATCTGTCATCCCAGGACTGAGAGACTTCCTGTTGGATCTTGCTCCCACTGAAGTTGCTGCCTCCTCAGTGCTTACTGAGTTCTGGGAGGATGCATTCAACTGTACACTGACAAAAAGTAAGATTTTATTGATAAAAAAAACAAACAAAACACAAATATCTATCCATTTTTAGTTAGTAGATCTTCGTTGTTGTACAGCTATTGGTTATTTACTATGTCTGTACGTTAAAAAACAAAAGAACATTTTTTTATTACCTCAAGAAAGACAGCATGTATTATCACACCATGTCGGTTATACTAAAAATAGACCAAATTGTTGCTTTGTTTTGTTTTTCAGTAATTGTAAACCTACCGATTTTAGCATAAGATTATATAAAAAATACATATAAGCAATTTATTTCTGAATATTAATTCTTTTGTCTCTTTAGGAGTGGATCCAGACAAAAAACATTGTGATGGAAATGAAGACATAACATTTCTCAAAAACCCATACACTGACACATCTCAGTTAAGGGTTACGAACATGGTGTACAAGGCTGTTTATGCAATAGCGCATGCYATTCACAATGCAGTGTGTCAGAAAACTAATCTCACCACTCAGTGTGACAGAAGTATCAAACTGGAGTCCAAACAGGTCAAACAGGAATAAATAAAACTCATAGTTTTCTATTAGCCATGACAGAGCACAGTTCAATTCAATGTCAGCAGTAAGTTTAACAGCATTGTATCTGTTTCAATTTTGCGTTTTTTCCCCACCAGGTGTTGTCCAAACTAAAATTAGTAAACTTTTCTAGAAATGGTTATCCTGTATCATTTGATGCTAATGGGGATCCTTTGGCTTTTTATGAGCTGGTCAACTGGCAGAAGAGTAACAGTGGAGTCATTGAGCTGGTAACAGTAGGATACTATGATGCATCACTGCCAAAAGGCCAGGAGTTTCGGATCAACAGGAATATAACATGGGTGGAGGGTGGCACACAGGTAAAGTGACAAATAAAAACAATTTGCACAAATGTTTGAGCCAAAACAGGCCTGCTCTGTGTTTGTGTGACAGGTTCCAGTGTCATTGTGCTCTGAGAGTTGTCCTCCAGGAACTCGCAAAGTGTTGCAGAAAGGAAAACCCATCTGCTGCTATGATTGTATACCATGTCCTGAAGGAGAGATCAGTAACATGACAGGTAAAGTACACACGTTTCATCCACATTTGCTTTATTAAATATTTGCAGTTAACTGACATTTATTTTTGTTATTAAGGTTCTCTGGAATGCTTTCACTGTCCAAGGGAATACTGGCCCAACGCAGAAAGAGATGCTTGTTTCCCCAAACCTGTTGAGTTTCTGTCGTTTGATGAAGTTCTGGCAATCATCCTGGCTGCATTCTCTGTTATTGGAGCGTGTCTGGCCATCATAACAGCAGCTATATTTGTGTGTCACAGAACAACTCCAATTGTCAGAGCCAACAACTCTGAGCTGAGCTTCTTGCTC